AAAGCAGCGTTAGCTCGAGCCCGCCCGCTGCTCGTGCTGCAGGCACCGGGCTCCATCGAACCGCGCGTACCGGCGATGTTCCATCGGGCCAGAGGTGCTGCAGGAGGGGTTGTCTCTGCACGTTTCCTCTAGAGCGAAAGCTGCTGTCATCTTTTGCTGTGTGACAGGAGAGAGCTGGTGAAGGGTTTAGTAATTTCCCTTTGACTCTCCTCCTTGCCTAGGCTGGCTATTCAGGGAGGAAGAAAGATGCCATTGAAACCATTTACCTGTCCTTTGCCTGAAACAAGGTTTCTTCACGCAGGCAGGCGTGTGTACAAGTTTAAAATCCGGTATGGCCACTTCAGCAGGTGAGCATGTTAAAGCGGTCAAGGCAACCTGCAATCTGAGGGCAGCATGTAGCAGCGAGTTAAGATCAAACCCTAAATTCAGATCTCGGGAGCTCCTCATTTCCTTCCTTCTTTCACAGACACTGAGAGTGGTCACTTAAAAGCTGCTCCTGCACTTCCCCATGCTGGGCATTGGCCTGAGAGAGTAATTTGAGCTGTAAAAATGCTGTCATTTCGCTGTCGTGTGTGGAGTTTGTGCTGCAGTGGGAGAAGGCGCTTCTTTTCCTGACAGTATTTTAAATTCTCTGAGTGTTTAACCGAGAAGCTCACAGCCTTTGCAGTTGTTCAACCCCTACGCCCCACACGGTCACCCAGTCACTGCCCCACAGTGGGATGAAGGAGAGGATCTGGAAGGTAAAATTAAGAAAACCCATCAGTTGAGATAAAGACAGTTTAATAAGTAAAGCAAAAGGCATGTGCACAAGCAAAGCAAAATGGGGCATTCATTCACTGCTTCTGTTGGCAGGCAGGTGTATAAAGCCATCTCCAGGCTCCATCACACCTAATGGTTACTTGGGAAGACAAATGCTGTAATGCCACCGAGTGTCCCCCCTTCCTCCTTCTCCCCTCCCAGTTTTACTGCTGAGCATGACGTCCTGTGGTCTGGAATATCCCTTGGCTCAGCTGGGATCAGCTGTCCCAGCCTTGTCCCCTCCCAACTCCTAGTGAGCCCCCAGCCTCCTCACACACAGAGCCAGTGTGAGAAGCAGTAGGCATTGCTCAGCAGTACCTATACCATCCCTGTGTTATCAACACTGCTTGCACC